TATATATATATATATATATATATATATATATATTGATAGATAGATAGATAGATAGATAGAGAGAGAGAGAGGGGGGAACCTTCAAAGATTTGCTATAACATGAGAATAGATGAAGAAAATACCCAAAATTTAATTAAATCAAGTTTTTATCTTTGTATTATTAACAGGAAAGACCAAAGGATTTTTTTATGTAAATATTATTTTTTTTATTTTTTTTTTAATCCTTTTTAGAATCTTCGAAATTCTGGCGTCAACCTGCAACCATAAATTATTTGGGAAATTTCATTTAATGAAACTTTCAAGTCTTATTCACAAATAAATAGATGTATTTTTGAAATCATTTTTTTTTTCGTAAAAACTCTTGATAAAAAAAAATTGTATCTGTTTCACCAACTCCCCACCCCCGACATACACACACTTATTTAATTATATGAAATTTCAAAAAAAATCTTTTTTGTAACTCTTAATGTTTATATTAGTTAAAGGAGAATTTAGATCACCAATTTTTTTTTTTTTGTCAAAACATTTTCGATGTATAAGGAATTTTTACAATAATTGTTTTCATTTTTTTAATTTTAATTTGAATAATTTATATATTTTTAATTTGGCAAAATTTTGTATTAATTTTTAGCGGTCAAGTGATATTGTCATTAAATAAAAACTGTGATTAGTAATCATTAAAAAAAATAAAACACTTACTTGTGGTGTGTGTATAAATGTGTCATTTTTTTTTAAATACGGATGTCCGTACACGACATTATCAGAAAATAAGAGCGGTAACTATAGTAACTTTAAAATTTATTGATAATTTTCTAACATTTCCTCAACGAGCATTGTTATAAGTAAAGTTATAAAGCCAAAGTACCTTCCAAAGTATTCTTTATGTAAATCTTATATAATTAATTATTCCTTATATAAATTTCCCAAACATCAGGCTGCTGATAAATGTGTCAACACCTAATAAAAAATAAAAAAAACTAGCTCAGTGTTAAAAAATGCATTTATTCAATATTTTAAACTAAAGTAAGTAATATTAGTTACCATTCTGATTAACTAAACTTTTAATCAGGTAATTTTTCTCAAATAACATTTCAGGAAACTATATTTTACATTTGAAAGATTATTTAATAAACAGAATTATATTGGGTTGACAAATTTGCCCATATGGACATTTAATCGAATTTACAGATTACCAGGAAAAAATAATTTTAATCAATTTAAATACGGTTTGAAATTAAAAAAAAAAAGTATTGAAAATATTAAATTTAATACATTAGCTTGGAATTAAAATTAAAACAAAACCTTCAAGAAAGATTTTTCACTTTTAAAATGCGTGCTATTCCTTATGCATCTTTTTATTTTTTGTGATATAAGATAATCTAAAAAGCCAGGCAAACCTACCTAGGTCTCACCTAAACGGATCGTGAGGGTAATGCTATGTGATAAATATAGGTATGCTATATTTTTGGGCTTAAAGCGCTCAATAGCAGAGATAAAACGTATGTAAATATAAAAGTGGACATTGAATTCAACACCCAACGGCGACAGTCTATTTCATACTTATACACAATCATCCGATTGACGATTGCGATTTCGTATATGCATGAAACACTGTCGCCGCTGAGTGTTGGCATCAATGTCCACTTTTATGAGAGAGAGATCGGAAATTATGACTCGTTGAATACATACTAAAAGTTCCTATACATTTCCATACCGTTGCTTTTTTCTCCCTCTTCCTTTCTACTACACCTCACGCCTTGCGCTTATTTATTTTGAAATAATATAGTGTTCATTAGTTTTTGTTTTTTTTTTAATAAAGCGTTAGGAAATAAAATTGACTGAAATCGCCTGACGTTACCGAAAGGTTGAAACTGAAAGTTTGAAACCGAAAGGTTGAAATTTTTATTATTATTATTATTAGTAGTAGTAGTAGTAGTAGTAGTAGTAGAAGTAGTAGTAGTAGTAGTAGTATCATATAGTAGAGGAAGATTGTCAAGTATGCATCTGATAGGATGTAGGTATAGTAAGCCGATGAGAGAAATTCGAAAAGTAATAATAATAATAATAATAATAATAATTATTATTATTATTATTATTATTATTATAGCCATTAGGTAAAATAGAATTTCGATTTTTAACATTTTTCTCATGCATGTATTTTTTCTAATAACCTAATAATATACAACAAAATATTATTATTATTATTATTATTATTATTATTATTATTAATCAATTCTGTCTTTTCAATTTATCTCATCGGCCTACTATATATATATATATATATATATATATATATATATATATATATATAAAACCTGACGATTGCGTCTAGCATGAAACAGCCTGTCGCCTCTAGTGTTGACTTCAATGTTCATTTTATATTCATATTTACATAGCTCTATCTCTGACATTGAGCACTTTATCCCATAAATACAGCACACCCTAAAACTATATTTCTTCATATATATATATATATATTTATTAAAGACATTTTATTTATGTTTAACGTTGTTATTTTTATAGATACAAGTATTTAAGCAAATGCTCTGTTTATGATAAACAGTATTAAATAACATTTACCGGCCTGAATGTCGAAAATTTTCATAGAAAATATTCGTTCATAGACAGGATTCGAACCTGCATCCTATACGGAACCGCCATATACGCTGGCGTGCCTTGACCACTCGGCTTAGGTATATGGCGGTTTGTATGGGCGGTTCAACGTTATAAATAAAAAAGTCTTAATAAATAAATTCGGACCTCGTCCATTTCTTAACATATATATATATATATATATATATATATATATATATATATATATATATATATATATATATATATATATATATATATATTAGTGTTTAAGCTCTTTTATTATATCCTTACTCTGTCCTGGACATTGAGTTTTACCTGGATTCTATCCTCTTGGAATTTTTTTACAAAATATATATGTATGTGCATGCATGCATGTATATATATTTATATATTTTGCATATGTATGTATATATTTACCACTAATATTATCTATTTCTCTCTCTATCTCTCTCTCTCTCTCTCCTATATATATATATATATATATATATATATATATATATATATATATATATATATATATATTATTGCGCTTTCATTTGTATGTTCTCACAGTGTCCGCAATGAATCCCTGCTAATTTTGCTCTGACAATACACCGTCCGAGATTAATTAAGCTGGAAATGCAATTTCTTTCAAACTAAGAATACATTTACCATGACCAGCATTTAGTCTCCAACTTTTCATTGCGGTTTCTCGATAAACAAAGGAAAGAAAATATATAAGAGTGAAAATAAAACAAAGAAAGAAAAACATGAGTGAAAAAGTAGGACATTTTTAATAAGGAACATTATATTTCACGAATTTCTTTTCAAAATGAAGATTACTTTTTTTCAAAAAATTTCGTAAAATTTCTAAATTGACAGGTCATTATTTTAAAACTTTGAATAGGATTATTTCCTTTTTGTAGCTGTAACTATTTTGGTATTCTCTCGCCTAAATTTCCAATTTGTTCAACCAGTAAAATAATATTAACCCATTAATGTCCACCGTGTCAACAATGGGACAGTGGACGTTAATTGATTATTATAGAAATCTATAGCTGATGTTGAATTTTTATAAACTTATAATACCTGATTTTTTAGAAACCAATAATTAGTAGCGTTTTTTTTTTTTTTTTTTTTAGTAAATTATAATTAATACCGGATTTCTTCTAGAAACAAACTTATAATTAATAGTGTTTTCTTTGTTGAAAAAACTATAGACAATAGGGTTCTCCACAAACAAACAAAAGACTGTATTAATTTTAAGTTTGTTTCTATGCTGAAAACAAATCGGTGATAACTATAGGCTACAGTTAACACCGATCTTTTCCGTAAACCAGATATATATTTTAATTTCTGCCTGAAGTTCTCGTTATCATTATAGTGATGAGTTAATATTATTTACATGTGGCTTATTTTCCTCATCTTTATCATCATTATCATAATGCTTCGGCCGTTGTGCCGTTCGATCTTCATCAGGTGTATGTCTATTCTGGTAACCTACACGGTATTTCGAACTGATCCCTTTATTAAATCTACGTGGTTACATTGTTCTCGGTGGGTATTAATGGTTTAAAATAAATAATTCTCATTCCAGAATATCACTGGAATGAAAACATATATATGGTTAACTGTAATAGAAAGAGTAAAATAAGGGTTTTCAGATCTGTACTTTTATTACAAGACATCTTTTAAACAGTACCTAAGTTAAAACACGACTGAAGTAAATGAACCCTGCTAAAGAAATGTAGCTGTTTTAAAACCGAGCAACGCTATGTAACCCTGCTAAATATATTATTCTCTGACGTAGTTGGAGCTAAATGTTGAGAAGGTAAAGGGGGGTCGTTTTCGTGTAAATGTATACATGAATTTAAAAGAGGGGCTTACAAAACTGATGTTAGAAGATTCAAATGAAAGTAGCGAACACAAGAAAGCCGACGACATTGATTATAGCATTAAGAAAAAAGTATTTAGTCAAACACTGAAAAATGTGATCAATACACACGCGCGCGCATGCGCATACACGCGTGCCAGCGCATAGCAGCATTTTCTTTTTTCTTCTTCCTCTTGCTCGTTCTCTCGATATATAGCCTGGACCAAAAGCAAATAAGCAATCTAGAATAAATTCCACATATTTGAATACCTTGTTATTTCTGGTCTAAACATAAATCTGTATATATGTATATAAAGCGATAAAGGACACATTTTGATGATAAATAGATTACAGCGTATAGATTGGAATGTCGGCAAAAAGATCAATCAAATCTACATACATACATATATATATATATATATATATATATATATATATATATATATATATATATATATACGCATCAATGGGAGGTTTAGACCGATATTGCATTGGTACGCATATTTACACGCAAATTAAGTTTGCAATCATTTTTAGGATGGTTGCTAACTAGCTAGATAGATAGATATGAAGAAACTATGACAGGCAGATAGATAGATAGATAGATAGATAGATAGATAGATAGATAGATAGATAGATAGATAGAAACTAAGAATATGAAGAAACTAAGATAGATAGATAGATAGATAGATAGATAGATAGATAGATAACCACTTAGTATGTTCAATGCTTAATCGGCTTAGGAGATTTTTGTGGCCTAGCATATGTGCTGATTCATTAAGTTTCCATATTTTCCAGTGATGTTCTCTGTCTATTTCAACCTCATCTCACAGGGAGTAGTGATCTCCCTTTTCCCTCTATATGTGGTCAACTACGCCTGATTTTCTATTTCCCCTCGTGTCACGGCTTTACGATGTTCTTGCAGTCTTACCTTAAGTTGAACGGGATGGCGCACCCAGAGTCCTTAGTCATGTTCTCCTCAGGACGGGGGGAGTACTCAGAAGAAGGGTCTGCGAAGTATCGAACCACTTTTGAAGATCGTCCTGATGTTATATTCCCGCGTGGAACTACAACAATCTACCCCGGTGGACGAATTAAAGGGTTCAGTTCGAAATTCCGATCCAGAGCGTACAACGTGAATAAGGCAATAAAGATGAGGACAATAGTCCGAACAATGTAAATAACATTTTACCTGTACTAAATATGATGTTACACTGTATCGATAATGACCTAAAACTAAATGGCCATCACAAATCAACTAATAAAAATAATCTCATAAATTTCTATTCTCACCATAATAACAAAATAAAATCCGGAATAATTATCGAATTCTATTTTTGAGAACTCAGAATTTATATTATATCAAAAGTGATAAAAACATAAACAAAAACACAAAAGAAACTAAATGAAATTTACTATACTAAATCTAAAAAAAATTAATTTAAAATTCCAGCATTCCCTCCCCTTCGTGCTTATGTGTAGCTACATGAGCGGAAACAACAACAACGGTGAAGTTCTAAAGGACGAAACGCGTCACAGATAAAAAGTTTTCCACCTTGCCATTAATTTTCCTAATATTGTTCTGATATTTAAAAATTTATATATCGTTTTCTACGCACATTAAAAAAAAGAGTTTCAAATTTTCTTTCTCTGGCGTCAACAGGGACCATAATGAATATGAGAAATTTTAGCGTTTTTTTACGATGAAAAACAGATTGATTTCGAAATTCTTCCAAAAATCAAATAATTGTCAGATTTTAATGAAACTTTCAGGATTTATTCACAAATGAATAAAATTATTTTTAAATATTTCGTTATTAGAAAATCCTGGTAATTTTTATTTTACATTTGTTACCCAATACTTATTTAATTTCATAAAATGCCGAGAAATTCTTTTCTGTGGCGCTTAATGTTTATATGAGTTATAAGAACAAGTCCTAGGAGAATTTAAATTATCAAGTTCTTTTGTTCAAGCAGGAACATCAATTACAGAAAATAAGTTCTGTGTTGTAAAATAAAAAATGCAATAAAATTAAGACATTGTTGAATAGGAAATGATTTTAATTACTCTAACAAATAAGATACATTATAGACACTATTGTCTTAAAAATTTCTTTTTTTGTTAAATAATGAACTTTTGCAAGAATTCTTTTCATTTTTCTAATTTTAATTAGAATAATTTACAAATTTTTAAAACTTTTAAAATTCAATATTAATTTGTATTGGACAATTGATATTTTTATTAAGTAAAAACTATATTTACTAACCACAAATGGGAAAGTTTAATAGAATTCAGTGACTCCCAGTATTTTAAAAAGAATTTTGATTTGTGTGTGTATATATATATATATATATATATATATATATATATATATATATAAAGGTGAGGGATTTTGTAAATACGGACGTGCATACACGATATTATTAGAAAATAAAAGCGATAACTATAGTAAATTTTGAATTTATTGCTAATTTTCTAATATTTTTTCAACAAGCGTCTTCGTAAGTAACACTATAAACTCAAAGTACATAAACTGAAATAAAATATTAGAATGTTTAAAATATTTAAAATTTTTAAAATTGCTGGTGGTTATAAAAGTTATTTTTTTAAAAAAAGCGTTTACCTTGTATTTGTCATGTAATTTTACTACAATCTTACTACGATTATAATCGTACAAAAGTCACCTAAATCTCGAAAACATCAGGTTCTCGATAAATGTCAACACCTCATAAAAATACAACGCTTCGTGTTAAAAAAATGCTTTTCTTCGATATTCTAAACTAAAAGTAAGTAATATTTGTTTTAATTCAGATTAATTAAACTTTAAATCTGTTAATTTCCCTCAAATCTCAGAAAAGTATGTTTTATATTTGAAAGATTTCTTAATAAAGCGTCAAATTTGTCAACATGGACAATTTTAGTGATTTTACTGATAATAAAAAATTGATCCAATCAATATAAATTCAGTTTGAAATACAGCAAAGTATTTTGCTTATTGGAAATATAAAACTTAATCAACTTGAAATTAAAACTAAAATAACAGCTTGAAGAA